TTGTTTTTTCCCTCCTTATAACCCCAGGAAGCCAGACCTGGCAAAGTGGTTTAAGAATATCAATTGTGCCAGGGGCGCTGGTGGCCAAGACTGTAATCCCAGCACTTTGGGGAGGCGAGATCGGCCGGATTCAACCAGGGGCAGGAGAATCAGACCATCCTGCTACACCGGTGAAAACCCCGGCCTCGACTGAAAAAACAAAAAACTAGCTAGGCAGAGGTGGCCGGCGCCTGAGTCCCACTATCGGGAAGCTAGGGCAGGAAATGCGGGGTAAACATCCGGGAAGCCGAGCTGCAGTCGACGAGTGATCGGATCCACTGCAACTCAACCCTCGGGCGACAGATGATACACCCGCTTCAACAAACAAAAAAAAAGGAATATCAACTTCGGAACCTGTATTTGCCCCTAGTTTAAATTCAAATTCCCCCCCCCGCCGCGCGGGCCCCCCCCCGACGGCAGGCGCAGTGGGCTCACGCCTGGTAATCCCAGCCACTTTGGTGAGGCCGAGGGGCGTATCACGAGGTCCAGGAGAATTCGAGAACCATCCTGGACTAAACAACGGGTGAATACCCTGTCCTCTATAAAAAAGACAAAATAATTAGCCCCGGCGTGTGGTGGCACACCTGAGTCCCAGCACTCCTGGGAGCTGAAGGCACCGGAGAATGGTCGTAAACCTGGGAGGCGAGCTTGCAGTTGAGCCGAGATTGCACCCACTACACTTCCAGCCTGGATGACAAAGCGAGACTCCTGTCTCAAAAATAAATAAATAAATAAATAAATTCAAATTCCAACATTCATATAGCTATGGGCAGTTTACTTCATCCCTCAGTGCCTTGATTTCCTCACCTATCAAATTTAGACTTATAGGCTTGTTGTGAGGATTGAGATTAAACTTAGAATAGGGCATGGCAAAAGTTGTTATTGAGAGTTGTTATTGTGTAAGAAAGAAAACCAAGGCTTAGAGAAATTAGGGACATTGGAATGAGATTCAAACTCAAATTCTCCTTATTTTGGGCCTGTTCTGTTGACTCCATCTCAGCTGCCTCTGAAAGCAATACCATGTATATTTGTATACTTGTACTAATGAATATAACTAGTTTTGATCATTAGGAACTCTGGATCTCCTCTAATTATTTATTTTTATTTTTCCCATCTCTTTCCTTTCCTTAACTTCCCACAGAGAGGACCTTAAGTGGACAGAGATTCTAGAACAGGAGAAATAAAACAAAAAGTGCTGGGGTATAGTAGGCACTCTTGGGACACAGGGAAGCCTCACAAGTAGGGGAGAGGAAGAGTAATTGATAGATCTAGAAAATAAGCCATTCCTTGGTGCCACTCAAAAACATTAGTGTACACCCTTATTTGCTACATTGGTTGTGGCAGGAAGTTGTAGTAATATCTTAATTTCATCTAAAATTGATAGCAAACATCCTCCTAATTGGCCTGTAATTGGTGTATCCTTTGGATTGTGTCATTATTTAACTTGAGCCCTCTATGTATCCACTGAGATTCCAGTGAAAGTGGAGATGGGAGAGAAGAACAGATTCAAGAGATACTTGGGAGAAACATTTTAATTCTAACAAAGACCCTGTGAGTCATCAGGGCAGATACTAGTATCATTAGTCTTCTTGAAGAGAAATGATTTACACAAGGCCATAAATGATCAAACTTGAATTCTGGGCTTTTAACTGCAAGCATAAAGATTATGCCAACACACTGTATTTTCCCCATGCAGGTAGGAGAATGCTCCAGGTGATGATCCTGGTTCATAGGCAATAGTGATGAGTGTTGGACATTTTACTCATGAAGAGATGTTACAGATTGGGTGGATTCCCTTTCCTGTAAATAAGGAATAATCATTAGCTTTTTAGTAATTATCTAATATTTCTATTTTATTTAGGCTATCGTTTGGGAGCAATGAGTTTAAAACCCTTTACCTACCCGTTTCCAGAGACGAGATTTCTTCATGCAGGACCCAATGTGTATAAATTCAAAATCAGATATGGGAACAGTATCAGGTAATTTCAAAAGTCGGAGGGTAGCCTATGTAAACACCAGTTAGTGCTGGTGCATTCCCACAGGTCTCCTCTTCTCTATCTTCACCCGGTTCAGGAGACTAGGTCACCTCTTCTCTACCTTCACCCAGCTCAGGAGACTGGTAAAGTAGCATCTTACAGGACTGTCTTTCCCAGTATATATATTATTCATATGAGTTTCTAAATTAGGGACAACCTTTTTTTTTTTTTTAAAGAGAAGCAGATCTCTATGTTGTCTAGGCTAGTCTCAAACCCCTGACCTCAAGCAATCCTCTCACCTCTGCCTCCCCAAGTGTTGGGATTATAGCTGTGAGCCACCACACCCAGCCTAGGACAACATATCTTTGAAGCAGTGTTTCTCAAAATTTTACATCTCAGGGCCGGGCATAGTGGCTCATGGCTATAATCCCAGCACTTTGGGAGGCTGAGGTGGATGTATCACTTGAGGTCAGGAGTTCAAGACCAGCCTGGCCAACATGGTGAAACACCGTCTCTACTAAAAATACAAAAATTAGCCAGGCATGGTGGTGGGAGGCTGAGGCAGGAGAATCGCTTGAACCTGGAAGACGGAGGTTGCAGTGAGCTGAGATTGTGCCACTGCACTCCAGCCTGGGCCACAGAGTGAGACTCTGTCTCAAAAAAACATTTTTTTTTACATCTCAGGACTCCCTTGCAATTTTTCTTTATTTCTTTTTTTTTTTTTTCCAAAGACAGAGTTTCACATGTAGTCGTGTGATCACCGCAGCCTTGACCTGCTGGGCTTAAGGGTCAGCCTCCAGAGAAGCTAGGACTACAGGCATAGTGCCACCACACCAGGCTAATTTTAAAATACTTTTGGTAGAAATGAAGTCTCACTATGTTGCTCAGGCTGGTCTCAAACTCCTGGGCCCAAGGGATCCTCCCTCCTCAGCTTTCCAAAGTGTTGGGATTCCAGGCATGAGGCACCCGCACCCAACTTGCACTCTTTAAAATTATTAAGGACCCCAAAGAGCTTTTGATTAATCTGTCAATATTTGTCATAAAAATTAAAGCAAAAATTTGGCCGGGCGCACTGGCTCAGGCCTGTAATCCCAGCACTTTAGGAGGCCGAGGCAGGTGAATCATGAGGTCAGGAGTTTGAGACCAGCCTGGCCAACATGGTGAAACCCTGTCTCTACTAAAAATACAAAAAATTAGCTGAGTGTAGTGGCAGGCGCCTATAATCCCAGCTAACCAGGAGGCTGAGGCAGGAAAATCGCTTGAACTCAGGAGATGGAGGTTGCAGTGAGCAGAGATGGGCGCACTGCACTCCAGCCCAAGCAACAGTGTGAAACTCTGTCTCAAAAAAAGAAAAAAAAAAAGAAAAAATTTAAAACAGTTTATTAATTTAAGAATAATATATGTAACAAATATGATATTTTTAAAGTTATATTTAGTGAACCGGGCGGGCATGATGGGTCACACCTATAATATCAGCTACTCAGGAGGCTGAGGCACGAGAATCACTTGAAGCCGGGAGTTGGAGGTTGCAGTGAGCTGAGATCACGCCACTGCACTCCAGACTGCCCGACAGAGTTAACCTCCATCTCAAAAATAAATAAGTAAAATAAAATTATATTTAAAAATTGAGAAGATTGGCATTATTTACATTCCTGGGATTTACCCCAGGGGTACCAGGGTGGTTTCGGCATGTAAAAACAATCAGGCTGGGAGCAGTAGCTCACACCTGTAATCCCAGCACTTTGGCAGGCCGAGGTGAATAGATGACTTGAGGTTAGGAGTTCAAGACCAGCCTGGCCAACATGGCAAAACCCCATCTATACTAAAATTACAAAAAAGTAGCTGGGTGTGGTGGCATGCACCTGTAGTCCCAGCTACTCAGGAGGCTGAGGCAGGAGAATCGCTTGAACCCGGGAGGCGGAGGTTGCAGTGAGCCGAGCTCTTGCCACTATACTGAATTTGATCAAACCCAGCACCTCACCCTTTCATGATAAAAACACTCAATTTAAAAACACACACACACACACACATAGCTGGGCGCCGTGGCTCACACCTGTAATACCAGAACTTTGGGAGGCCGAATCAGACAGATCACCTGAAGTCAGGAGTTCAAGAGCAGCCTGGTCAGCATGGTAAAACCCTGTCTGTACTAAAAATACAAAAATTAGCTGAGCATGGTGGTGCACACCTGTAGTCCCAGCTACTCGGGAGGCTGACAGGAGAATCAGTTCAACCTAGGAGGCAGAGGCTGCAGTGAGCAGATCGTACCACTGCACTCCAGCCTGTGCAACAGAGCGAGACTCTGTCTCAAAACAAAGCAAAACTATAAACTAGAAATAGAAGGGAACTTTTGGGTAGGTGCAGTGGCTCACTCTTGTAATCCCAGTACTTTGGGAGGCTCAAATGGGAGGATCGCTTCAGCATAGGAGTTTGAGATCAGCCTGGGCAACAAAGTGAGACCCCATCGCTACAAAAAATAAAAGAAATTAGGTGGACATGGTGGTTTGCACCTGTGATCCCAGCTGCTTGGAAGGCTAAGGCAGGAAGATCCATTGGCCCAGGGAGTTGAGGCTGCAGTTAGCCATGATTGCGCCACTACCCCCGGCCTGACCTGGGATGATTTGTAACGTGATGTTTCATTGGTGGTTTGGAACATTTTGGTTCACTGAATTATGCACATCCTCCAAATATTGATACATTTCATTATACAGTATCGAAAAATATTTGTTAGTATCACTACAATCTTAAAAGTGTTGACGTATTTGGAAACTGTCAAACTCAAAATGGTGGACGGAAACTTTCCAAAATTTAAATTTTCACTTGAAAGCCCAAAATTTATTGTTGACAACAAGTATTGTCAGTTCTTTTCCTTGAGTTGACATGCCTATTTTATTCATTTTTAAGAAAGTGTCTGTCAAACTTCCAAGTATGAATAACAACCATAGTTTGTCTGTTAGCTGATCATTCAAGTAAAATATTCCATGAAGAAAAGCAGACAGTTCAGTTTGCAGCTTAAACAGTCACACATGTAAGTTTCCCTAAAATAACCATCATATTTTGGTATGCAGCAGAAGCGCTTTATGCATACTTCGTGTTTTATCACATAACATTTAAAAAGATATGTAGTTAAAGATTGAGATTTTATAAAATGGTTGCTTTTTTTTTTCCTGCTTCCTCAAGGATATTCAGTGAAACTGGATTTTTTTTTTTTTTCCTGTGCAGCAGTAAAGATTACTTTGACTGATAGTACAGCCTAGTGCAACTGGCTAGATTTGTGCTAAGGCACTGGCAATTTTGCCCACCATTGCTTTTGCAATCATGGTTACACATATTAACACAGTGAGAAAGGCAAATAACACCTTAGTATTATTATGAAAATAGTTTTACCCTTGAAGACCCATTGAAAGGGTCTTCAAGACCCTTAAGGGTCCCCAAAGCACACTTAAAGTACAAGTGCTCTAACAAATGATTAACTTTCACAGTGGGAATTTCAGGTCTTGGCAGGTCGAGAAGTCATTCTGTACCAATGTTCAGACCACACCACCTAGGGGATCACTTCTTCCCCATGAGCACTGGATCAGCACACACAGTTTGACTTATGCTTCTTTAGCACAGTGGAAGTGTCATTTTTGCTCTAGTAATGTCTACTCTCTCCAGAGCTTTCCTTCATGTCTTACTTGTCTCTTGTTTGTTTACCTTCTAGAGGAGAAGAGATAGAAAATAAGGAGGTCATCATCCAGGAGCTGGAGGTAGGGAAAGAAGCATACGACTTCTGGAAAAGTGACTCTTTAAGCTAAGGATGCATCCACATTCAGGTTTTAATTATTTCCTACAAACTGAGTCACAACCTCCGCTTGATAACTTGGCTTCTTCCTGCTACATCTCCTTTGCAAAGGAACTTTACTGTTTTTCCAGGGAAATTTAAAGCCTGTATTCTTTCTCAGTTTTCCTAGTTGAAGTGTCAGCACCTTTGAGGCTGAGAGCTTTTTGTTTTCACCAGAGTTTCCAGCCTTGGGCAGCTCTCTTTTGTGGCAGCTGGCATAGAGAAAGATTCCGGAGGACTGCCTCCTTCCAGGGCTCTGGGAAACCCACCATCCCAACCACTGCCTGGTACTTGACGTTCAGAAAACTCGACTGTAAATACACAGACAAGGCTGCTGTGTATTCATTTTAATTGGAAACATTTGCAATTGCCTTATTCCGACTTCATTTTCATTCCTTTCTACCCAGTTCCTCTAGCTTTAGGTTTTTCTACAGAAAGAAGACTGAGCAGGTGGTCAGCTTTACAAATTGGTGAAAGCAATGGACAAGGAGTTAGAGTTCTCGGGTTTGGCCCTGGATTCCAGTTCTGGCATAGCCACCAATTAGCTATGTGACCGTTGGCAAATCATATATCAACTTGGATCTTAATTGCCTCATTTGGAAAATGAGAGGTTTAAACTAGCTTTTCCTCTTCTGACTTCACAATTCAGTGATTTGTGACTATTGTGATTTCTTAAGACATATGCCTCCACATTTCAAAGCAATTAAATACACTTAAACACAAAACTCTGTGAAACCAAAACTGAGTCATACCCTTAAGAAGGTACCTCTTTGGCTAAGTGTTAAAAGATACATTAGGATCTTGCAGGACCCTCAAGGACATCATTATGAATGAGTTATTTTAACATAGGACCAAGAAAATGTTCTACCTGGTTTTTGTTTTTGTTTAAGATGGAGTTTTGCTCTGTCACCAGGCTGGAGTGCAGTGGCGCGATTTCGGCTCACTGCAACCTCCACCTCCCGGGTTCCAGTGATTCTCCTGCCTCAGCCTCCCAAGTAGCTGGGACTACCAGCGTGCACCACCACGCCCAGCTAATTTTTGTATTTTTAGTAGAGATGGGGTTTCACCATGTTGGCCAGGATGGTCTTGATCTCTTGACCTCATGATCCACCCACCTCAGTCTCCCAAAGTGTTGGGATTACAGGTGTGAGCCACTGCGCCCGGCTGTTCTACCTATTTTAATTATGGGCAGAGTAGGCTTTATTTCACTTTGTTTCAGTTAACCTGAGCAGTGAAAAGCTCATGGAAGCGTAACAGAGAGGAGGGAATACAGACTTTAGAGCCAATCAAACCTGGATTTGAAGTGTCCATACTAGGATAGTGTCTAGCTTCTAATTATAATAGCTAATATTTATTGAGTAATTACTATGGGAAGTGTTCTGCCATTCACAATTTGACTTTGGGCAAATTACCTACCCTCTCTGAGTCTGTTTCCTTACCTGTCAAATGGGGTTAATAAAGAAGGCCTGTTTCAAGACTGAGGATTAGAAATAGATGTCTGCAATGCCTGCCACACAGTAGCTCAATAATTAGTAGCTTGAGAGCATTTACATTCACCATATGTCATATTTCCAAGATGCATTTGATATGCATATGCGTCTCTCTCTTATGCTCACTAGTTTGGGGTCAGATGTTATCATTCTGTTTTCATCATTTAGAAAACACTGAAGCCGGGCACTGTGGCTCACACCTTTAATTCCAGCACTTTGGGAGGCCAAGGCAGGTGGATCACCTGGAGTCAGGAGTTTAAGACCAGCCTGGCCAACATGGCAAAACCCCATCTCTACTAAAAATACAAAAATTAGCTGGGTGTGGTGGCACATATCTGTAGTCCAAGCTACTCAGGAGACTGAGGCAGGAGAATTGCTTGAACCTCGGAGGCGGAGGTTGCAGTGAGCCAAGATCGCACCACTGCACTCCAGCCTGGACAACAGAGTGAGACTCCATCTCAAAAAAGCCCCAGAAAACATTTACTGAGAAGCAGGATAGCCTATGGGTTAAGACTAGGAGCTCTGGAACCCTACTACCTTGGTTCAGATCTTGGCCCCGCTATTTCTAGTTATGTAATCTAGACTACATTTTTTCACTTCTCTTTGTCTGTTTCCTCGTCTATAAAATGGGAATAACAGAATTGCCTATCTCACAGGGGTTTTGTGAGAGTTAAATTAATTAATATGTATAAAAACACGGCCGGGCTTGGTGGCTCACGCCTGTCATCCCAGCGCTTTAGGAGGCCAAGGCAGGAGGATCACCTGAGGTTAGGAGTTCATGACCAGCCTGGCCAACATAGTGAAACCCCATCTATACCAAAAATATAAAAGTTAGTCAGGTGTGGTGGCAGGTACCTGTAATCCCAGCTACTTGGGAGGCTGAGGCAGGAGAATCGCTTGAACCCGGAAGGCAGAGGTTGCAGTGAGCGGAGATCATGCCATTGCACTCCATACTCCAGTCTGGGCAGAAGAACAAAACTTCATCTCAAAAACAAACAAAAGGCTGGGCGTGGTCGCTCATGCCTGTAATCCTAGCACTTTGGGAGGCCAAGGTCGGCGGATTGCCTGAGCTCAGGTGTTCGACACCAGCCTGGGCAACATGGCGAAACCCCATTTCTACTAAAAATACAAAAAAATAGCTGGGCGTGGTGGTGCGTGCCTATAATCCTAGCTACTTGGGAGGCTGAGGCACGAGCACTGCTTGAACTCAGGAGGTGGAGGTTGCAGTGAGCCAAGATTGTGCCACCGCACTCCAGCCTGGGTGACATAATGAGATTCTGTCTCAAAAAAAACAAAAAACAGAAACACTTCCCATAGTAATTACTCAATAAATATTAGCCAGTATAATTATAAGCTAGACACTGTGCTACTATGGAGAATACAAAGATAAACAAGACACAATTTTTTTTTTTTTTTTTTTTTCTGAGACAAGGTTTCACTCTGTTGCTAGGCTAGAGTGCCGTGATGCAATCATAGCTCACTGCAGCCTCGATCTCCCAGGTTCAGGTGACCCTCCCACCTCAGCCTCCCGAGTAGCTACGACTACTGGCGTGTGCCACCACACCCAACTCATTTTTGTATTTTTGGAGAGATGGAGTTTTGCCATGTTGCCTAGGCCAGTCTCGAACTCCTGGGCTCAAGCAATCCACCTGCCTTGTCCTCCCAGAGTGCTGGGATGACAGGCATGAGCCACTGTGCTGGCCACAGTTTCTATCTTCTTTGAACCCAAACATGAGAACACTGAAGCTTAGGGTGAAATGACAAGCCTGGGACTGAAATTGAGACTTTTTCCCCATAGAAATTTAGTAGTCTTTATGATGCCAAATTAATTAGTGTAGACTAATAAGCAGTAGCTTAATTAGGGACTAATCGATTAAAATTTAAAGTGAGTGGAAAAAAAAGTTTGACTTAAACAAAAGCAAAATACTATATATCAGTAAATACCAGTGTTGTTCATTCATTCAATGTACATTAAGTGAAGACTTGTTATGCTTTATTCACGATAGTAGACACCATAGAAGGGATACTAAGATAAATCAGGTGTATATTCTACTTCAAGTAGATCTCCCAGTAAGGAATATAAAACATTTGTATGTGGAATGTAGTAAAGACTCCAGGCTAACTACTGTTCAGTTTGATACTAACAGTTAATTACAACTTGGTAAATCAGGGAAAGCTTTCTGGGGGAGATGACTTTTGAACTATGCCTTAAAGGATAGTTGAATTTGGACAAGTGCTGATGGGTGGAAAGGGCATTTCAGGAAGAGAAATTCCCTTTCTATGCAAAAGTGTAGAAGCGGAGAAGTAGGATGGGTGCAGTGGCTCACGCCTGTAATCCCAGCACTTTGGGAGACCAAGGAGGGCAGAGCATAGTGAGCTATGATTGCGTCACTGCACTCTAGCCTAGGCGACAGAGTGAAACCTTGTCTCCAAAAAAAAAAAAAAAAGGAAAGAAAGTCCTGAGCCTAGGAGTTCAAGACCATCCTGGGCAACATGGTGAAACCACATCTCTATAAAAAATAAAGAAATTAGACGGGTGTGGTGGTGCACGCCTTTAGTCCCAGCTACTGGGGAGGTTGAGGTGGGAGGATCACTTGAGCCCAGGAGGCAGAGATTGCAGTGAGCAGAGATCACTGCAACTGCACTACATCCTGGCCACAAAGCAATGGCTCGCTCAAAAAAACAAAAAGAAAAAGAACGGAGATCAGATACATGTTTACAGGACCAGCAAACCGGCTTCCGCTTTTGGATAGTATTATATGAGTCGTGATTCGTGATTGATGCAGTGTACAAATTACTTACACACAAGATTTTGCCTGAGGCTCAACATGTTCAAAGTCATTTGCTACAATATTGTTTTTTGTGCGGGATTCTATCCACGCCCCGTGGTGCTTGGCAAACTTTTGACAATCTTCAGCCTTTTGCTACTAGCTATACCACTTCATTTGTTATTTCTCCTGATCTCTTTTTTTTCTCTTTTTGAGATGAAAGTCGTCGTTTCCCAGGTTGTTGGAGTGCAATGTGTGTGATCTTATGGCCGACTGCCATACCCTTTCAGCCTCTTTCGAGTGTTCACGCGATTCTCGGTCCTGCCTCAGTCCTCTCAGTAGCTTTCTCTGGATTTACCTGGTACGTGCATTCATCGCTCTGGCTATTATTCGTTGTGGTTGGTTTCTTCTAGTTTAGATGTTCAGCCTGTTTCCACATGCTTGCGCCCAGACTGGTGCTTGAACTTCCTTTGTACTCTTCTCAGGTGAGTCGCTTCTCTCGCGCTCCTGCTTCTCCCAAGTTGCTCGGGATATTCATCAGGCCGTGAGCCCTCTGCGTTAGTGTTTCTTCCTAGTTTATTTCCTTGTTCTTTCCTGGCTTTGGCAAATTTGAGCTTCTACGGCACATTTTATGATCTTCTATATGCTAATGTTCAGTCTCAAACCATATGGGTCTGTCTGGTGTTGGGTGCCATCTTCGTGGATGTTTACGGTCGGTGAAGCGGTATGATGAGTTTCTGCGCGTACGAGAGAGAGATGTTATCTCTATTGGAATGCCTACTGTGCATTCTTTTTCTTTACTCCTTCGCTATCATTTCTCTCGTTCAGATGAAAGTCAATGGATTGAGACGTTTCCGCCTCTCCCTGAATCTTCTAAACATGGAGAAATCATTCTTGACTCCCCTACCTGTTGTTTTTACCTATACGGCTTTGGTTAGATGATATGGTTGTTCCCATGATATACCTGTCCCTTGGTAACGTTTGGAATTGATTGTGACATGTCGAAGTGCATGAGAGTTCAAAGGTTAGCGTGCCACTGGATTATGGTGAAATGGGTGTCTTATCCAATTTTGGTTCTCTCAGCCATGCTATTTCTGTTTCGGTCACAGGCTCCTACGGATCGATCGTGCTTCTCCTACGGCTCCACGACTATTGACTCTGCTTCAATTATTACGTTTGTTGGTCTTGCCTGCTCACTCTAGCTCTGTGTTGATAGTTATGTAAATTTAATCACTTTCTGTTGTGCCTCTCCTTTTTGCTGATAATGTGGAAGTATCATATTTACCCTACTTATCCCATTGCAGTTGTTCAAGAAGATTCAACTACAACTAACTAGGTAGATCAAAGTACAAGCCTGCCTTCTATACCTTGAACTGCAAGATAAGTATTCTATACACCCTTCCACTTAGAGTACAATCCATGATTTTTCCCCACTTTCAGCAGCTGTCTAACGGTATCTGCCAGTCTATATTTTATTTAACAGAGTCTCACTCTGTTCCCGTTAGGCGGAGTACAGTGGTGTGATCGTAGTTCACCGTAACCTCTAACTCTCGGGCTCAAGTGTTCTCCTCCCTCAGCTTCCCAAGTAGTAGGACTGTGGGTGTGTATGACCTATCTCCGGCTAATTTTTTTTTTTTTTTTTTTTTTCGTAGGACCGGGTTCATACTATTGGCACCCTCGCGGTCCTCAAACTCTTGGGCTCAAGCAATCCTCCCACCTCGGCCTCCCAAAACACTGGAATTACAGGCATGAACCACTGTGCCTGGCCCAAATTTTTATTCTCTGAAGGCCATGGGTAGGTATTTTTGCTGATTGAGGGACAAGTAAACACCTACCCTTTTGATTTGAAAAGGGGTGCAGGCTGGGCACAGTGGCTCATGCCTGTAATCCCAGTACTTTGGGAGGCCAAGGCAGGAGGATCACTTGAGGCCAGGAATTCAAGACCAGCCTGACCAACATGGTGAAACCCCATCTCTACTAAAAATAAAAAAGTTAGCCGGGCATGGTGGTGCGTGCCTGTAATCCCAGCTACTCAGGAAGCTGAAGCAGAAGAATTGCTTGAACCCAGGAGGCAGAGATTGCAGTGAGCCAAGATCACGCCACTGTACTCCAGCCTGGGCGCTAGAACAAGACTCTGTCTGAAAAAAAGATGTGCATATATATATATATATATATATACACACACACACGTATATATATATGATGTAGCCTGGCATGGTGGTGCATGCCTGTAGTCCCAGCTACTCTGGAGGCTGAGGAAGGAGAATTGCTTGAATCTGGCAGGCAGAGGTTCTGGTGAGCCAAGATCACACCACTGTACTCCCGCCTGGGCAACAGAGCTAGCTCTGTCTCAAAAAAGAAAAAAGAAAAGAAAAGGGGTGCAAAGGCCTTGCCTCAAAATATCTCCCCTTTTCATTTGTCACAGGTAGCTGAAGTTCTACTTTTTTCTTTTGTAGTAAGAATCGTCCCCTCCCTTTTCAAACCCCTTCTAGCTTATAGATTATAGTCATTCTGAAACAAGGGAGGAAGAGAGTTTGAAGACACTATTTTTAGGGAAAATGGTACCAGGTAGAAGGGAGAAGGGCACATGAGGAGTCTTTGTCTAGGGTCAGTTCCAAGAAATAAATAGTAGCCAGAAATCCAGGTAAAACAGCATCATGGTTAGGCCTGGTGGCTCACTTTGGGAGGCCAAGGCAGGTGGATCACCCGAGGTCAGGAGTTTGAGACCAGCCTGGCCAACGTGGTGAAACCCCCCTCTCTACTAAAAATGCAAAAATTAGCCAGGTGTGGTGGCACATGCCTGTAGTCCCAGCTACTTGGGAGGCTGAGGGAGGAGAATCGCTTGAACTCAAGAGGCAGAGGTTGCAGTGAGCCGAGATCACACCACTGCACTCCAGTCTGGGCAACTTAATCTCCAAAAAAAAAAAAGTATTATTTTATTATGACACTCAAATTTCCTATTGTAGGGAAACCAATGAGTGACAGTCCTCTTGGGTTGGTAAGTTTGCCTTTTCTGTACAAAATGAAAATTGCCTTTATCACCTTCTTTTGTCCCAAAAGTCCTGCTCTTGCCTCTTCCTCTTACTTTGCCCCTCAGTTGCTGCCCAGATCCAATCAGAATTGTAAACATAAGACAGTATTTTCCCCCTTGGCTAGATTTCTGAGACCATGTCTCTAACAGAATGTCTATTCTGACTTGCAAAGCTGGTGTTAAAAGTTGCCTTTGGCAGTTTAAGGATGGGGAGTTTTCTTCACTGTGCCTTCATGAACTGGGAGCAACTCTGGAAAGGAGGAGTCACAGGCATCTGCTTCCTCTCTGAAGGTCCCAGCTGAGAAGAAAGCAGTAGGAGCTGTGATGAGGAAACGAAAACACATGGACGAGCCCAGCTCCCCCAGCAGGCCAGGGCTGGACAGGTCAGTGGTGTGGGGAGACAGTCTCGCTCCTTCATCCTAATTAGGCTTTGCCAGCTATTACCATTGGTTGATCCTGTCCTTGGGCGAGTCACTTTCTTTTTCAGGACTTCATCAGTATCTGCCTATTCCAGTGGGTGGATTAAGGAAAGGGAGCAAGTTAATATTTACAATATAATTTGAACATAGTCCCTTTTTCAGCAAAGTATGATTTTTCTTCGCAAGATGAAGGCTGAGAAGAAATACAGCCCGATCTAAACAATTGAATTCAGCACATTCAATAATACTATGGTAATATCACCAGAAGGCAAAAGACTTATGAAGTCTCAAAATATTATATAAAAACATAGGGAAACTCTTGAAAGAATAAGAACAAATAAAATATAATTCTATTTTACCCAGTGAGCAGTTAGCTTTTGGAACCTTAAGAGGCAGTCCAGACTAAAATGTAAATGTTTGCAAGAGGGTATGTATCAATCATTGGGTGGGGTACTGTGATATTAGGGGGAATGTTGAGCCATCCCTAACATATTGTTACTGTGGAGGCTACTTATGTTCTTCTTTCAGTTCTCTATCAGCGACAAAATGAGTCAGTCAGACAATTCAGTCATTCTTATTAGCACCCTAGAAAGCTAATAAGAATGCTGCTGGAATAATCCAAAGTGTGGTTTGTTTCGTAGCCCAAGATGCTTCCACCCTAGGCCCACAGAGAAGAGCTACCCTTTTCCTGGGACACTGTGGATCCCTAGACATATAGGAAAAGTAAGGTAGACTAGGAAGCTGACCCCATGCTCTCCAGATGCACATGTAGATGAAGAGATAGGGAGCTCCTTTTCAAGCCAGGTGGAATGTGAGGGTACTTGGAGGTATGAAGCTTTGTTGTGTTCCATTCGACTGAATTTTCCATGTAAGTGAGGTCTCAGATCTTCCCTTTCTCTGGGTTTTGATGCACAGTCAAGTATTTCAAAATCTGATACCTGCTGTCAGTCACATTTTCACTTTCTCAAACCCCAGATCCCTAAGTGTCTCAAACTGGGATTCTGCTGTGAAGTAAAGCAGCACCCAAAGAAAATTTGGCCACCCAATTTATTCTGCCGGCCAGGAGTGGTATAAAAATAGCCAACCTGCTGAAATATTCATTTGGGCCACATTTGCTTGAATGTAGTGATATTGCATCTGCCAGTAACATTCCCTGCATATTTTCCCCCCACCTCAGGGCCAAGATAGGGACTTCCAGCCAAGGCTCCAGCAAAAAGAAGCCCCCTATGGAAACCAGGAGAGTAAGTACTAAAATGGAGGCTTAGAGGCTGTCAGCTATTCCTGTTCTGTTACAAGTCGGGATTCCGGTTACCAGCACATCTTGGTTTTTCATGCAGATTGAATTGACTGAACTCATTCTTGGGTTTCACCGTCTGCAGAATAACATTCAACTATTATGCCCTTGCCACAGCACATCCCAAAGTGGCTGCATAGTAACACGCATCGATGAATCTTTTTGTTAAAAAGTCCTCTCTTTGCCTGGTACGGTGACTCATGCCTGTAATCCCAGCACTTTGGGAGGCTGAGGCGGGCGAATCACCTGAAGTCAGGAGTTCGAGACCAGGCTGGCCAACCTGGTGAGACCCAGTCTCTACTAAAAATACAAACTATTAGCCAAGTGTGGTGGTGAACGCCTGTAATCCCAGCTACTTGGGAGGCTGAGGCAGGAAGAATCACTTGAAACGCCAGGATGCGGAGGTTGTTGCATGTGTATGCCAGGGTGTGTGGCAGCTTCCACTCCCAGCCTGGAACAGAGTGAGACTCCATCTCAAAAAAAAAAAAAAGGCGGGCCGGTGGCTACGCACCTGTAATCCCAGCACTTTTGGGAGGCCGGAGACGGGTGGATCACGAAGGTCGGAATCGAGGCCATCCTGGGCTAGCATTGGGTGAAACCCCCGTCTCTTTGACTTAAAAAAAATACAAAAAATACCGGGGGGCGGAGGGTCGGCAGGTGCCTGTATCCCAGCTACTCCCCCCCCCCCACCCCCCCCCCCTCCTCTCCCCCCTCTGGAAGGCTGAGGGCAGGAGAATGGGTGTGACACGGTGAGGCTGGAGCTTGCAGTGAGATGCTGAGATCTGGCCACTGCACTCCAGCTGGCGACAGAGCGAGGCTTCGTTCTCTTTCTTATATGTATATTTTTTTTTATTTTATAATATATATATATTTATTAGAAAAAGAAACAAAGAAGCGGCAACGCGGTGGCTGCCCTCGTAAGCCTAGCACTTGGAGCCATGTCAGCCGCGGCGTGTGCAGGGGATCGACGGACCGATCCTGCTAAGGACGGTGAAACCTGTCGTCGTACTGTAAAAAAGAAATACAGAAACCGGGCGCGGTGGGCTCAACTTGTAATTCCCAGCACTTTGGGAGGCTGGAGATGGGTGGGATCACGAGGTCAGAGATCGGAGAGATCCCTGGCAACACGCGGTGGAAACCCGCCATCTTCTACTGAAAAATACAAAAAAACTGAGTGCGCGGGCGAGGTGCGCGGGCGCCGTAAGTCCCAGCCTATACGGAGAGGCTTAGGCAGTGAGAATGCGTAGAACCCGGGAGGCGCGGCTTGACAGTGAGCCGAGATCCGGGCCACTGCACTCCGGCAGCACTGGGCGACAGAGCGAGACCTTCGTCTCGAAAAAAAAAAAGAAAAAATACGAGGAACATTAGCCAGCGTGTGGCAGGTGGCCTGTACGTCCCAGTTGGCCTGGGGAGGCTGAGGGCAGGGAATGGCTGAACCCCAGGAGGGGCGCAGAGGCTGGCAGTGAGCCGGAGATGCACCACTGCAACTGTAGCCTGGACAGAGCGAGACTCAAAAAAAAAAAAAAAAAAAAAAAAAGATCCTCTGCTTTTCGCTTAAAAAGCTACTTGTACTCTGCAGTTGAAATAAGAAAATATGTCTATATAGGATTGAGGTGGAATCCAGTATAGAATTTTCCCTTTAGGAAACTTTTCGCCTTCATCTATACTGGGGTCTGAGTCTAGGAACATCTAGTTTTAACAAATGAGCTAGGCATGTATCAGCACTGATAACTGGTAAGAGAAAACTTCTAGAGCAGTGAAGGGTTGGCCCCTGATGGAATTAGATTTCATTTATGGGGTATGTTTCCCATTTAGATATTCATATATCTGGTACCCCTCCTCCATTTTAGGACTTCTTTTCTATATATTCTCTAAAATAGTGACCTTTTTCTTTTCCTCCCCTCTTTAAATAGCTGTTAGCTGGTATCCATGCCTTAAAGATCCTTCCTGTTTTTCTCTATGTCTCCAAAGTTGCTCTGACCCTAAGTATCCAAACACAAACAACTCACTTTCTTCACCTTCCCAGGACCCATAACATGAGCAGTTATCAAGTAAACATTTACATATGCATTCATTCAACAATTTTTGTTTTCTTTTTTGAGACAGGGTCACACTCTGTTGCCCAGGCTGGAGTGCAGTGGTGCAATCTCGGCTCACTGCAACCTCTACCTCTCAGGCTCAAGCGATCCTCTCATTTCAGCCTCTGGAGTAGCTAGGACTACTGGCATGTGTCACCACACCTGACTAATTTTTGTATTTTTTGTAGAGATGGAGTTTTGCCATGTTGCCCAGGATGCATTCAACAAATTTTCTTTGAGTGTCTACTATGTGCCAAGTACCAGGGATACACCAGCAGTGTACAGCTAGGTAGACAATTACTGATAGATGTGCCATGTGCAGGGGTAGAAGGAAGCACAGGATACAAAGGGAGCATAAAGTGGCCAGGAGGGAAGGATTCCCAGAGTAGCTTGAAGTCCAGTGCTGAGAAATGTTACTGGAAAAGTCAGAATGGACTGGATCATGAAAAGCCTTGAGACTACCTTCAAGATCACAGGACTTCTCTAAAACATTTTTAAGTAGAAAAATTAAGTTACTTTCATTTCTAAGGGATTGTTCTGTCTCCTGCTCATAAGGCATTGTGTTGGGTGCTGGGGCATACATAAACATATGTAAACCCTGATTTCTTTTTTCTAGGAGCTTGTAATTTAGTTGGGGAAGGAGTGTATCTTTGGGGATTTATACCTCTGCCTCTGTGTGCGGGGGCAGAGTCCAGGGCCCCAGATGTGCTGTGGCCAGCTGGCCCACTGAGTGATTTTGGGCAGATGGTCAACCCCTTCTATGCCTCCCATCCTTTAGGATGGTAAGAAAAAGAAATGAGAAAGTACCTGAGGAGTACTTGAAGCTCTGGAGAACAAAAACACTTTATACAACCAAGATAATTACTATTAAAGGAACATTTTCCTCGCTCTCTAACTTCATATCTTCCTATTCTTAGTTTGACACATCATCTCCCTCAAGAACAGTACCCACAGCTTCTTACTCAACATAATTACCTTTTCAACCTGATTCTGGATTTAGAAAAAACTCTAGTAAAAGGAACATGTTTATTGATTTTGACTCAAGGCCCATCATGGACCCTGTTCCCAGGAAGATGATTTCTCCTAAATTAAAGTGATCACAGTGACTCTCAGTATAAGTCACTTGAGCTGGAAAAATTGAATTTGCTCCTATGGTCCATTGCTTAATATGTTCTGCCCCCTTTGCAGGGAGTTATGGTGTAGAATCACAGTCACTGTGCATGTGCGTGTCTGAACACATTGGGAGCCTGTGTGGGGAAAGCTTAGAAGAATACAACACGTACCTCTGTTTCATAAGAAGTGTTTAGGGAGAATGGGAAGGAAGAGCAGAACCCCCTTGCCTTTGTTACTTCAGGTCCCAGATCTAGAGATCCAGACTTTGGAAGGATAAAAAAATGGGAGGGAGCAGATGAATGACCCAGAAATGAAACAGACTAACTGCACGTCGCATTTTGTTGTTGTTGTTGTTTTGCTATATCTGCTTGAACTGCACTTCTAAACAGATCTGGCCCTGAACATGCAGAGGACAGTCTTGCATCAGGTTTTCAGAGTATTATGTTCTGATGGAGGTCCCAGTTGATACCTTCAGTCTGAATTCCAGCTATAATGTTTTTCCTCCCTTATGACTTTTTCTTGAGAAGACATCTCTCAAGATTTTGGGAGATCACAAAAAGGCTACACTGTCTTATGAGGGGACTCTTCCCTGGTTCAGAGGTAGGCTGTACCTCTGTCCCAGGGCCTTTGCCCTCTTGTTCCTCCTACCACCCTTAATAGATGCTTTCATTAGGGCTACTGTATGCAGCAGGATTAAAGCCCCGAACCATAGTTTCATTAAATTTGTAAGAATCATTCCCTCAAGCCAGAAACCAGAGCTTGGCCCTCTAAATTCCATCTCCACCGTCTATAGAAAAGGTAAGAATGGTCTCCTTCCTCCCCAGAGTTCCCTGTCGCTTTTATAGGAATATGACTTAGGTAGCTGCCCATGTGGTCTGGGATTTGAGCGGTTTGTGAAGAGGCTCAGTTCAGAGATAGCTGCCATTCTAACCCGAAGTTTATTCTTAGGATGGGGGCTAGTCCTAGCTTTTCTAGAGACTTGCCATGCCTCTGCCTCCCAGAACCTACCTTTACGGTCTGCAGCCCCTTGCTCTAGAACTCTTAGCCATGGGAGCTAAGCTATGGGAACGTAAAGGCTTAAGAATGATACAATGGGCTGTGGGGCCTTGGGTGAAAGAGTGGGAAGGGGGTGAGGGATAAAAGACTATACGTTGGGTATAGTGTACACTACTTGGGTGATGGGTGCACCAAAATCTCAGAAATCATCACTAAAAAAACTTATTCATGTAACCAGACACCACCTGCTCCCCAAAAACCTATTGAAATAAAAAATAAATTTTTAAAAATGGGAAAAAAATTCACAGAACTGCACACCCAAAAGAAAGAAAAAAAGAACTCTTCACCAGCAAAACAGCTTGAGGAGCTCCATCATTGCTGGGTAAAGCCCCTAGGTTCAGACTGGGTGAAGAGAGTAGTAGCCAGTGGCAGAGATTCCCAAAGAAAATATAATAACCATATTTCTGATTATCAGGGTGTTTACTGGAAAATGTTGTGGGCCTGGAATCAGGTTGTAAAATGTCCTCTTCAGAGTACAAAGAAATTTATATAAAGGAGCAGCATATGGAGAAATAATAAGATTGTGTTATATTATGCTAGCTGCTAATGCCACAGTCATGTTTCTACCATGCCTGGCTCTAGCCATGCTGATCCTATTTATTCTTTAATGGCACTGTGCCCTCATACATCATGTCCCTGTCTGGAATGCCCTGCTGTGACTGACCATCTCCTCACCCCCGTTATGACAACATCCCACTCATCCATCCATCCATCCATGAAGGCTCCATTCAAATATCACTTCCCCTGTGAAGCCTTCCTTGAGTAACGCCACCTGCTCCATTAATGTCCTTTCAGCAACCACAGCACTCTATACGGATTCGTTGGTCTTATCACACTCTTTTTTTTTTTTTTTTTCCCGAGACAGAGTCTCGCTGTGTCTCCCAGGCTGGAGTGCAATGGCGCGACCTTGGCTCACTCTGCCTCCTGGGTTCAAGCGATTCTCCTGCCTCAGCCTCCTGAGTAGCTGAGATTAAAGGTGCCCACCACCACGCCTGGCTGATTTTTTCTATTTTTAGTAGAGACAGGGTTTCACCATGTTGGCCAGGCTGGTCTCGAACTGCTGACCTCGGATGATCCATGCATCTCGGCCTCCCAAATTGCTGCGATTACACAGGCATGAGTCACCATGCCCGGCCATCATACTGTCTTGACTTAGTTTATGTCCATTTGCTCCATAGAGTATACATTTCTCCAAGGTCAATTTAAGGTCCTCCTGATTTCTGAAACCTCATGTTACTGAGTAGGCACTCACCCACCTTGATTTATTCTTGGCTTTTAAATCTTACGGTTTTAGAGGGACAATAGTTAGGATGTTGAAATGAAAAAAGGAAAGTCCTGGCCGGGCGCGGTGGCTCATGCCTGTAATTCCAGCACTTTGGGAGGCCGAGGTGGGCAGATCATGAGGTCAGGAGATCAAGACCATCCTGGCTAACATGGTGAAACCACGTCTCTACTAAAAATACAAAAAATTAGCCGGGTGTGGTGGCGGGCGCCTGTAGTCCCAGCTACTCAGGAGGCTGAGGCAGGAGAATGGCGTGAACCCAGGAGGCGGAGCTTACAGTGAGCCGAGATGGTGCCACTGCACTGCAGCCTGGCAACAGAGCAAGATTCAGTCTCAAAAAGAAAAAGAAAAAAGGACAGTCCTATGGAAAGAAATGGAAAGAAATACAGAACCTATCTAGGCAGTCAGAAGCCAGGCCCTAGTGCTAATGTGAAATCAGTTCACCAGCAAATAGCATTCAGATTGCCATGCAGTGTAGGAGTAAAGTTTAAGACTTTTCTTGGTGTTCTTTTAAACAGAACAGGGAAAGAAAAACCCAACAAGGATTGCAGGAGACTCTGGCTTCTGATATCACTGGTGTCCAGAAACAAGGTAGGTCCTGGGAAATTTCCATTTATTCTGCTTTAATAATCACCCTTTCCCTTGTAGTTCTCTGATACGTAGAGCAGCACAGAGCTGAGTCTGGGTGCCCTCAGTGGGTAATGTGCCTTGCTCCCGTGGAGGTGTTTGTTAACCAAACTCTGGTCGGGGGGCCTGTCCTAGAGTAATAGAAGCCCCCCAGCTCCCAGAAATAGTGAAGGGAGGCAGTGCATGCCCTTCCTTTGCTTCTGATAGTGAAGTTATGCTCTGACCATTTCAAAACATTTCCAAGTGAGGTGATAAACTTTATAGAAATGTTGAGAGGGATGTGTTTCCCTTTTCTGTACTGTTGGAGAATGATCTCTTCCCTTTGGGGCATTAGAGTTAATATTGAAGTTGCAAATGGATGCTTTGCAAGGGCTGGGAATGCATGTCAAGCTGTTGCCCTCCCTACTTGCTGATCTTTTACCCAGCATGAGGATTCAATGTGGACTGCAGTTATCACAGAAACAGGGATGTAGGCAAGTGAGTCCTTCAACAACTTGTCATTTTATGTGAAGACATAGCAGCCGGAGTGCATGGCTGGAACTTGAGCTGTGTAAATATCCCAGGAGCTTGACTGAAAATACTCTGAGGTCAGAATAGCATCTTACTGAGCTGAGATGAAATTGGGAAGGTCAGAACAAACAATTCACCTGGCTTTAAGGAACTCTTGGTGTGAGACTGCCTCTGGCTCATACTGGGTGTTTTGCCTTCTACTCACATGAAAACGGCCTATGGACAAACATCTTGCTCCTGCCTGATTGTTTTCCTTACAGATTCTGAGTGGGGGCACAGCCTGCCAGGGCCAGTTGTCCCACCCCTGCAGCACAACACACCTCCACCTAAGGAGCGAGCAGCCAGCGGCTTCGTTGGGTTTCTAAGGTAAGACAGCTTCTATCTGGCCATGAGACTCGAGATCCAGCTCAGAGCAGCTCATTGAGTCTTTCAGGGAAATTAGAATAGAAAAGAAAGCAGATTACTCACAGAGGCTTCTCACTTATGTCTAAGATAGACAATGGAAATGAGATTGAGAACAAAAGCCCTAATTGTGCATTTAATAAAGACTGCGTCTTACTTATTTTTACACAACCCACCTCCACCCTGATGTGTCCAGGATAAAGCCAAGCTCCATAAACATTAACTTGGGCCAGGCGTGGTGGCTCATGCCTGTAATCCCAGTACCTTGGGAGGCCGAGGTGGGCGGATCACTTGAGGTCAGGAGTTCAAGACCAGCCTGGCCAACATGGTGAAACCCCGTTTCTACTAAAAATACAAAATTAGGCAGGCATGGTGGCACATGCCTGTAATCCCAGCTACTTGGGAGGGAGGCTGAGGCAGGAGAATTGCTTGAACCTGAGAGGTAGATGTTGCAGTGAGCCGAGATTAAAAAAAAATAAAATAAGATAAAATTAGCCGGGTGAGATGGCACGTTCCTGTAATCCCAGCTACTAGGGGGTGCTGAGGCAGGAGACTTGCTTTAACCTGGGAGGTGGAGCTTGCAGTGAGCTGAGATCGTGCCACTGCACTCCAGCCTGGGTGACAGAGTGAGACTCCGTCTCAAAACAAACAAACAAAAACACTAATTTGAACAAAGTCTATTCTTAGTTTACTTGAGCCATTCAGATGATTTGGTTACAAAATATTTCCATTCTCCCCTCTGAATCTAGGTTGTGTTTGCAGAGGACAGTTAGCAAATGTCTCTCTCTCTCTCTCTCTCTCTGCCATCCCGTTGCAATTCTTTTGTTTTATTCCCCCTCCTGAGTATAATCTAATTTGGGTACCTTTTCAAATGCTATTCCAGTCTTGAATCTCCATTCAGTGGTTCCCCAGAGCAAAAATGCCCTAGCTAGTGAAGCACTAATGGGAAATGGGGAGAAGGGAAGGAGACCTCATAGAGCCTCAGCCTACTCTGTTCTCATTCTTGCAGCTCTCTCTTCCCGTTTCGATATTTCTTCAGAAAGAGCAGCCACTCTTGACCCTTCCAAATGCAGCGCTGGAAAGAGGATCATCTCTTGCAGTGACTCCTCCCGAATCATTCTTCCTCCAACTCTTTCCTTTTCTTATGACACTTCAGTCGTGGAGAATGAGGTCCCCATGCTGAGTCCTCTGTGGTTTTATCCTGTCCTTTGCCCCTTTATATATTTTTTTTCCGATTTAAAACATTAAGAATGGAACTTTCTAAAATGTTCGTGTCTGGAGGGCCCGTTTAGGCCTTTTGTCTTCAGCACTTAGGATCCTAATGACAATAAATTATTTATGAAGAGTTATTGATTGAATTTAGTGGAATAGAGTAAGAGAGAACAAATTCTTCCCTCAAGATAGAGAGAAAATGCATGAAACTTCCCTAGGTCTACCTGGTTACTGTTCACAGGATCACTTTGGATAGGTGACTCTGTGCCAGAGGTTAGGGAATGGGGTCTTTCAAGACTCACTGTCCTGAGCCCTGCTCACCCAAGAGACCTCTTCCCCGGTTCCAGTTTGGCCCCAAATGGTAGCCTCTCTATAGACAAAATGTTTCCCACCTCTCTATCCCTCTAACTGTTTGACAGTAATGCAGATTCATTTATCAGATTAACTGGAAGTCAATCCAGGTTGGCACCCCTGGAGAAAGCCTGGGCACCTGAGCTGCCTTCAACTAAAGGACTGATCTGTAACAGACACTTTAGCCTTGTGTGGCCGTGGAGAACCAAAATGATCTATGGAAATGTATGGAAACTCATTTTAGCTCACAACAAAGGAGTCACTTTTTACTTGTTAGAGATGTCCAATATTAGAATGGGCTACCTCATAAGGTAATGAGCCTCGTCACCCAAATGCTTTATACAGAAGTCATCATCTGTCACATGCCAGAGGGTGCCCTTCATGAGTGGGAGAGTAGGGGCTGAACTGCTGAGTTCCCGCTGCATCCTGTTGCTATGCTGCCTGGATCCTTGGCGGGGAGAAGAGAAGAGATGGACTGCTGCGGAGGACCTGGCAATCGAGGACCCAGGACTTGAGGGGATGGGGGCTGATGGGGAAACCACAGGGTGTGGGAATTTAAGGATTAGTGACATTAGTAACATCAATTCCTCTCAAATTGTGTTTACAGCCTTTACTGGACTGTCCCAAGCATGGCCTGCTTTACAAAGCTGCTAAGAAGCACAGCTGAGTGCCCACCCTGACTCTGACTAGCTTACAGTGAAGCTTTGGGAAGTTGTTTTCCACTGAGCTCTTATTTTCTCATCCAGAAAATGCAGGGGTAGGATTTGGTGAGTTATAAAGTGCCTTCTAGCTCTGGCAGTCTGTGACTGGCCCTGCTCTTTCCGAGCAGGTCAGTGAGGCAATGACCCCGAAGGGGGCTGCCCAGAATCACCACAGGCTTCCTTTGGCTCCCCACCCTGCCCCAACCCCTCTGGCCACTGCTGCCTAGGGGTCTTTCTCCAACTTGCCACATTCTTGCTCAAATGTAGTTTAGCACCATGGATGGACAGCAGATTTGAATTTGAAATCAGCCCTGACATTACCCAGCTGGGTGACTTTTAGTAACTTTCCTTCCTTGAGCCTTAGTTGCCTCATCTATAAAACCAGAGCTGGACAAATGGATCAGCTTTGCTGGGGTTGATGACTTGAGGCCCTTTCAGGAGTCAGGTCCCTGTTATTCCAGGGCTAGGGAAGCACTCCAGCTCAGAATGGCACTCTGTAGCACAGGATGAGAATCACCCACTGACACCGTGGCCATGCAGCTCTGAAACAGACAGCAGCCCAACCCCCCGGCCCTGCCACCAAGCACATCTCAGGAGACCTCCACTGGTATAATTTCCCTTGGCCCTAAGAATCTCCTTCCCCAGTCCCTTTCCTTTGCGTTAGAAAAAGGCAAGCAGGGCTGAGTTTAGTGGTTTTAAAATTAGGGGTGTGGCCAGGCACAGTGTTTCATGCCTGTAATTCCAGCCCTTTGGGAGGCCTAGGCAGGCGGATCACTTGAGCTTAGCAGTTCAAGACCACCGTGGGCAACATGGTAAAATCCCATCTCTACAAAAAAATACAAAAGTTAGCTGGTCCTAGTGGTGCACCTGTGGTCCCAGCTACTCCGAAGGCTAAGGGGGAGGATGGCTTGAGCCTGGGAGGCTGGGAGGTGGAGGTTGCAGTGAGCCGAGATACCACCACCACACTCCAGCCTGGGTGACAGAGCCAGACCCTCTCAAAATAATAGTAATAAATAATAAAGTTAGGAGTGATCAGGCCCTGAACAGGGAAGTGTTCTGTCCAAGGTCACAGAGCAAAGAGAACCCAGGTGCCCACAACTCAGCCAAGAGTCTTGACCCCTCTGTCGTCAACTGCACACATGCTGCACACTCCACCAGCTCCTAGGCTTCTCTCCACATCTGACTTCTCCAGGCCTGGACTGTGGGTAGCTTTTTGGACAGAAAGAAGCAGAAAGCAGCAGGAGCTGCTCTCCAAGGACCACACCTCAAAGAGCAAGATCCCCAGGTGGGATCGCTCTGAGGCTTCAGGCAGAGGAGGCTGGCTTGAAAGCCGATCTCCAAGAGGGCGTGGCTCCAAAATGCTGGCAAATAAAGCCTGGAGAGCCAGCAACAGTCTGGAGACCAGCAGGAGGGACAGGAAAACTGCAAGCCGCTCTGTTCCTGGGCCTAGGAAGTGGTGAGCTCGCTGAGGCAGGAGGCGCTCTGGGGAGGGTCTGGGAATGTGGACAAGGGCCCTGCAGGCCAAGACAGGGCAGGTGGAGGGAGGAAGATGTTTGCGCTCCAGTTGGCGAAGGAAATTCCAGGGAAGGGAGAATCACTGCACAGAGGGCTGACGACACACAGGTCCTTTCCAGAGACAGCTGCTCACACTCACACCCATACACACACACACAAAGGTAGATACAGGGAAAAGGTAGCACCACTCAGGCACACCACCTATCAGACCAGCCAGCCCTGGCTCACTCACCTGGAATGCAGTATTTAAAGAACTCACCATCCCACCTGCACACCCACATAGAGACATCTCCCCACTGTATTTCAGATGCTCATGGCGTCCCCTCAAACCCTGGTTCTCTGTCTGCTGGTCCTGGCAGTCACTGAAGCCTGCGGCCAGGAGGCAGTCATCCCAGGCTGCCACTTGCACCGTGAGTACCTCTGGCAGCAGATGGCTAGGAGGAGTGGAGGTTCTGGGTGGGAGCAAAGAGCTGATAGAGTGGACGGTGGGGCAAGCAGTACCCTAGAGGGCCCCACACTGAGGCACAGGCAACAGGAGCTGGGGCGAGGCAAACCTTGGCAGAGGCGCCGTCTACTGCTTGCCTGTCTCCCTCTAGCCTTCAATGTGACAGTGCGAAGTGACCGCCAAGGCACCTGCCAGGGCTCCCACATGGCACAGGCCTGTGTGGGTCACTGTGAGTCCAGCGCCTTCCCTTCTCGGTACTCTGTGCTGGTGGCCAGTGGCTACCGACACAACATCACCTCCGTCTCTCAGTGCTGCACCATCAGTGGCCTGAAGAAGGTGAGGAGGGCCCGAGCCCGATGGATGGACGTTGGGGTTGGGGGAAGACTCGGGAGATGGAGATCTAAGACAGCCCTGAGAAAGGGGACTGCAGCACAGACTCCCCTCTCCCGCAGGTCAGAGTACAGCTGCAGTGTGTGGGGAGCCGGAGGGAGGAGCTCGAGATCTTCACTGCCCGGGCCTGCCAGTGTGACATGTGTCGCCTCTCTCGCTACTAGCCCATCCTCTCCCCTCCTTCCTCCCCTGGGTCACAGGACTTGACATTCTGGTGGGGGAAACCTGTGTTCGAGCTTCAAAAACTGGAAGGAGCTCCAACCCTGCTGGTTACTTGCTGTGGAATTTTTTTAAATAAGGGAGGGTTGTTCCAGCTTTGACCCTTTGTAAGATTTCGTGACTGTCACCTGAGAAGAAGGGAGTTTCTGCTTTCTTCCCTGCCTTTGCCTGGCCGTTCTAAACCAATCTTTATCATTTTACTTCCCTCTTTGCCCTTACCCCTAAATAAAGCAAGCAGTTCTTGAGTTTCTCTCTTTATTAAGTCTACCCACAGCCAGGGAAAGAGGGGTAGACCATGATTACTGTGACCCCCCCTTACCCCAGGACACTGTGAATCTCTTCTTGCCTGTGCCCTCACCCTCCCCCTGCCCAATAAATAAAAAGGGGACAAGGAAGTACACAGCAAGGGAGGGGAGGAGTGTGCACCCAGGACAGTGTCTGTGTAGAGGGTGAGCTGGGCGAGAATAAATAGACCATGGACCCCATGGTGGGGATGAGGAAGGACCTCACGCTGGCAGAGGCAGGGGCAGGCGAGGCGCTGAGTGCCCTTGCCCAAGGCCAGGAGCAGAGGGTGGGAGCCCGCCTGCAGCCCGGAGCCCAGCTTTGTGGGGCAGGGGAAGATCCCTGATGGCAGCTTCCTGGTCAAGCTTGCCCTTGTCAAGTCCTGCCGCGAGGGGCTGAGCATTCTGTTGCCAAGACCACCATTGCCTCTCCTCGTCTCCCCCCAGTGAAAGCTGGGCTGGGCAGGGAGTCCTCAGAAGCCACTCTGGCAAGGCCAGGGGTAGGTGTGTTTCTCTCTGGGCCCCTGGACAGGAGAAGGGATAGAGGGACTGACAGCTCTGGGTTTAGCTTCTCCCCTTCTGAGGTGCTGTCTAGCTCTGACCCCCACTGGTGGCCACCTGGGGTGTAAGCCGCTGGAGAGGGGCCTCCTTGGCCCCCTGGGTCCCCTGTAGCCGGCGTAGCCGCAGCTCCTCCAGACCTTGCCATAACTCCTGACGCTCCTGGGCCTTCTGCTGCTCCCTGGGGAGAGAGGGTGAGGCAGCTCCCTTTCCTGGGGCCCTCCACAGTCCAGACTCCCTCACTACCACCCCAGCGGCAATGGGAAGGCATGGAACCATTTTTGTTCTGTGACTCCATAAAAACCCTCTGCTGAGGGAAGAGAGCAGAGAGAGACAGATCCCAGCCTGCAGTCACGGAGAAGACGATGGGTGGGGCTCTGAGTGGTTCTGGCTTCTGTAGGAAGCTACAGGGATTCAGAACAAGTCCGAGCTACTCGAAGAATGATGGGAGGACACAGGGGCAGACAGGCATAGGATGGCAGGAGCACGCAGAGTCTTGCACGTCTGATCAGATAGGGTTCGGGGTGGTCCTCAGGTTCCCTCCAGTCATGGGGGTCTGATTCCTCCCTGCTCTTCTCCCTTCCCCCACGCCCAGCCCCCAACACTCACTGCTGCTTTTCCAGCTTGTAGGAGGCCGTGAGCTCATCAAACAGCTTCCCATTCATCTCCATGAAGGT